CAGGCTCCCACCCAGCCCACCCTGGCCCACTGCCTTCTGACCCCGGGCCGGCTGGCCCATCGGTGCCACGTCACAAAGGTCACGGCCCAGAACTGTGCTGCTGGCAGGTCGCCTCCTCGATGCCTTCCTCAACCGAGCTGGGCCGTGGGCCCTTCCTGGGGACTCCCAGGCCCTTGGCTCCCAGGGCAGATTCTGTTCACCCAGGCGAGCCCAGCACCTCTGGGCGCCGAGTGCTGAGTGCTCACCCAGGATGGGGGGAGTCACTTCCCTATCCCTACCCTCGTCTCCAACCTCTTCCCAGAGCCTACAGGCACCCCACACATGGGCACACACGTGTACCTGAAATGCACACACTACCCACACATGCACCCCTTCCAGCCTGGCCCCGGCCGCCACATCCCCGAGATGGTGTGTGTGAGGTGTGGAGAGAGTGCCCTGGCCTCTCCTGGGCCCTCCCGTGCCCTTCAGGCTGCTGACCTCCCGCCCCAGGCCTGAACCCGTGGCACATCCCCAGCCTTGCACTCCCGGACCTGCAGACGAACACACGGCCGTCAGCCTTGACCCGGGTTGGGGCCCAAGTGCCTGGGCAGTCAGGCGGGGCACAGGCCTGCAGCGTCTGAGGAGGGGCTCGGGAAGGTGGTAGTATTGCACTAAGTCGTTCCTGTCTGGCGGCCCACCCAGGCCCCGTGGCCATGGTGTGTGGCGAAGACACCACTGCTTCAGGTTGAAAGCAGTCACAGAACCTTGGCCTGGCCATTCCTGGGGAGAAGCCGAGCCTCAGTGATGCCCCCGCCCAGGATGGCAGTAAGCCAGGCCCCTGGAGAAGCCTTCGGCCTGGAGGCAGCCACCCCTCTCCACCCCCACCCCATCTGTCCATGGCGCCTGCAGCCCTCATTGCCCACGGCTGAGCCACCGCAAAGGCCCCAGCGGGGACAGTAGGGTGGTTCAGGCCAAGGGGGCCAGGTCCGGGTGGGCACAAGCGTGGGTCTGTGTGGTCCCCCCCGTGGCCCGCCTGGGGGTGGCTGGCCCAGGTGCAAACAGAGGGGCTGTGTTCCGGCTCCCAGGGAAACAGGGCACCCTGTGTCTGCAGGGACAGACGGGCCTCAGAGGGATGCCCAGAGCCGGCGAGTCTGCCTGGCATCCACAAGAGCTGAGAGGCTGCTGTGGCCTGGAGCCCTTCCTGGGGGGCTATCCTAGGGACACTGCCATAACTGGGGGCAGATGGGGCTTTCCCCACTGGACACACGGGTGGGGCCCAGCCATGTGGCACAGCTCAGGGCATCTTGGGCAGCACTGGAGTCACCAGAGCAGCCCAAGGGATCTGTCAACCTGGCAGAGACTGGCACGAAGGGTGCCCTGCCCAGCCTGGGTGAGGAAGGCCCAAGGAGATGCCAGCCGTGTGCTCTGCCCGGACATCCAGCTGCAGTCACACTTCCAGGACCCCCCACTGCATCCTGCCCTGGCTCTATGCCCCCCAGTGCCCAGGGCTGGCCAGGGACCTGGGACTCAGCACCGCCGGGGGCTCCTTTTGGCCTTGGGCCAGCCTGGTGCCCCAGACTTCCAGGGACCTGGTAGGGGCTTAGGGCTCAGGCGAGGTGGCAGGAGGTGGGGCAGGGCCCGAGCCCGTGATGAGCAGGGGAGGCCACGGCACCATCCAGGCCAGGAGGAAGATTCTGTGGCTCCAGCTGGATCCCAAGTGGGCCCTTGCTCTCCCTGTGGAGACACCAGCTTCCAAAGGGGCCCAAGGACTATGCTCTCAGCAGAGGGCATCTTGAGTGTAGTCTCACCACAGCCCCCTGCTGGTGACAGCTTGGTGGCGCATGGAATGTGGGGAGGTTGTGCAACCAACACCATCCACAGGTTCTCCGTCCCCAGCAGGAACCTGGCCCGTCCTGTCTCAGGGGTGCACATCTCGCATGTGGAATCACAGCACGTGACCCCATGTCCGGCTTCTCCTCGGCGTGGGCTTTCCAGGTCCATCCGTGTGGCGTGTGGCCGCCTCAGCCCAGGTCAAGCCTGTCCATCCACCCACAGCTTTCTAGCCCGCGTCCGAAGTCTCTCCGAGGGTGGGGCTCCCGTGGACCTGGTCGGGCACTGACCCGTGGGTGTTCTGCCCTCCTTGGGGAGACACCCTCACCTAGTGGGTGGACAGGCCCCAGCAGGGGCTCAGGGTGCCCAGGGGTGCCCACTCACTAGGGGCTGGCAGGTGACCTGAGGGCCGGGTGTGATGGTGCCAAGGTCTCTGCCCACTACAGACCAGAGCCCTATAGCACATGACTTCTGAGCCTGGGGGCCCCTCCACGGGCACACTGTCCTGAGCCCATCACCCCAGCTGCACCTCTGCACCGTGCCCACACCGCCCCCACCCTGGCCCTGCCCCCTAATGCCACCCTGCCCTGATCCTGCCCCAGGCGCTGGGTCTCGGCCTGGCCCAGGCAGCGGTGCTCCGTGCGGCTGCTAGGTGAACGACGGGCTGATGGGAGGAAAGGGACACACGCTCCCTCGTGTGTGCCTCATCACACGACACCCTCCTGCCTGGTGAGAAGCTGCCTGCTTCAAGATCTGCCCCCACATCTTCCAGAACAGGAAGGGGGGACCAGAATGCGAAGTGAGGCCTTGGAGAACCAGAGGGCCCAATGGCTGGGTCCTGACTGAATGAGGCCACACCTCACCTTCCTCCCTCCTCTCTCCAGAGGTGTCTGCACTGGGGGAGAGGGAGGCCTGGAGGCAATTGGGCTCGCCTCTGCTGGATGAAAAATACACACGTTCCAAGGGAGGATCACTTGAGGCAGGCAGTTCAAGACAAGCCTGGGCAATATAGCGAGACCATCCTCACTGCAAAAAAACCTTTTTAGTTAGCCGGTCATGGCGGCACATGCCTGTAGTCCCAGCTACTCGGGAGGCTGAGGCAGGAGGATCACTTGAGCCCAGGAGGTCAAGGCTGCTGTGAGCTGTGGTCACACCACTGCACTCCAGCCTGGGTGACAGAGCAAGACCCTGACTCTGAACAAAAGGAAAGAAACGCAGACCTGGCTTGAGAAACTGTGTGTGCCCCAGAGCGTCGAGGGGCCAGCGCATCAGTTGCTGGATTCAGCTTCTAAAACGCCAAGAGTCAGCCTTAACAGGGGCAGCCCCGATCGGGGTGAAATACCCTTGAGGACCGACCTCGGGGGCCCACTTCTCCTGGAGCCCTGGGGCTGCCCAAAGGAGGGAGCCCTGGGCTGCCCAAAGGAGGGAGGTGAGCAAAAGGAAGGCAGCCGGAGGCCCTGACATGTCTGAAGGGTGGGATTTAAGCAAACCGCCCTCTTGTTTCTCCCACCCACTCTTTCTTGAGCCGGCACCCCCTGAAGACCCCAGGCCCCCCCGACCGAGCTGGATCCCTCTGGACACCCCCACCAGCACAGCGGGAGGATGGGTGCTCAGGGTCCCTTCCTGGGCACCCCACGAGAGGCCATGGGTGTGGGATATTCTGCTGCTAGCCTGCTGAGACATTGGACAGAGACGGGCGGGGGGAGAATGCCCACCCTCCACAACGCCTCTGCCCGCCTGATGGCCTCCTAAGCACAGCGCCACCTCCGTGGTCGTCATACATCTGGGGGCTGCCAGGGGATGGCCATGAGGCCCAGGCCACATCATCCACACAGGCCATGGGCCGGAACTCTGGGAGGAAGCTGCAGAGTTAACCTAGCAGCTGTTCCACATTCCAGAAAGTTCCAGGGACAGGGGCCGTGAAGGGGGAGCTCGGGTACATGCTGGGACCTCCACTGCCAGCTGGAGACACACTGTGCCCCAACCCTTCAGCTGCAGGAGTGCCCTCGGGGGCTGCCCATCACCACAAGGGATACCAGTGGCCACTGCCAGGGTCTCAAAGTTTGTGTCAGCCCCTCCGGGAGCATGAAGGGGCCATCTGGGCTTCCATGTCCCCCACCCTCGCTCCGGCTGTCCCACAGCCCTCCTGTCTCCACCTCACATGTGTGCATGCTTCTGTCTCTGTGACCCTGCCCTCTGCTTCCTCGGACCTATCTTGCTCACTCTGTCCTCTTGAGTTGAAAGCTCCACTTCTGACCGGGCTCTGTGGCTCAGCCTGTAAGCCCAGCACTTTGGGAGGCCGAGGCAAGTGGATTGCCTGAGCCCACCGGTTTGAGACCAGCCCGGGCAACTTGGCTTCTCTACAATAAAATAAAAAATAGCCAAGCGTGGTAGCACGCATCTGTAGTTCCAGCTTCTTGGAAGACTGATGCAGAAGGCTCGCTAGAGCCCAGAAGGTCGACACTCGGGTGGCTGTGAGCATGCGTGCCACTGTACCTCACCCTGGGCGAAGGAGTGAGACTCCAACTCAAAAAAAAAAGAAAGAGAGAAAACTCCATTTCTAAGAAATGCAGCCGAGCACCCACTGGCTACCTCCCCAGGTGTGGGCCTCATCTGTGAGTTCTGGGAGTTCCCACCTGCTAACCCTGCAAATGGTAGAGGCGTGGGCTCTCAGATCCGGGTGAGTGGATCTGGGCCATCCTCGCTGACCTGGGCTCCCATCACGACGTCTACCCTCCCAGCGTCTCCAGCTCCCCAGAAGGGGCTCCCCTCCTGTCGGAAGCAGATGCTATGTCCCTCACCTTGCACTCCTCTGTGGAGTGCCCCTGTTCCTGGACCACCTGCCCACCTTCATGCAGTGACACAATGGAACTGGGCCCTCCAGAGAGCTGAGCTCGAAAGCCACAGAGCAGGGCAGGACTCAGATGTCGGCAAGTCACCCTTTGAACCCCTGC